TTATTAGTATATTATCTGGTATCTCATCGTTTGGAAGAACCTTTAAATAGTATTAAAATCGTATTGGTGGATCTTTTTTAGTTTAACACTTCCGTGATTTCATCAGTGTAATGCAGATTAATCTATGATTTTATTTGAAAAAAATACAGTACTGTATCTGTTTGTTGGGAAGACACGTTCTAAATTCAAAGGGAGGTATATCCGTTACAGTGTAAGTTTGATTTTTCCTTCGTCACGTCGCGTCAGTTCATATCGTACTTTTGTGCTAAAATGAATAACCCTCTATCACAGTTTTGAGAAATTTGTTGTGAGGTTAATGTTAAAGCTGGAATTCCTTGACATGGGGGATGTCAGTTAGCTGTCTCGGCCATATCAATTACATAAAGTTGTCAATATAATCTCTCTACGGAATTTTAGGTGTAGTGGAATATACTTGAATTGAAGTTGGCTTTTATTCTTAAACTGTTAGGGGCGTGCTCATTTATATGCGGCTTCATTGGCAACAAATAATACAAATGACATAGCAATTAATGAGGCATTTCCAAAAAGCAAAAATAATGTAAATTGGCTGTCACGTAAATATTGACGTTTACATGCATTGTTAATCAACGTATCTTATAAAGGATGATGTGATCTAGTTTAAAAGGAATATGACCTTTCTGTCATGACATGCAGTATGCAGTAGCTGCTTAAATATTATTTACTCATTGGGCCATATTTACAGCCAAAATACTGTGTTATTTTCAATAACATATGGGTAAATTACATAGATTTTTTTGCTGCTGATCAGTGCACTTTAAGAATATATATTTTAGAGATAAATTAAATGGTTTTTGTTGCTGAGTAGCGCTAGTAAACATGCACAACCCTTTTCGTTAGTCTAATAACATTCAAAGGCTCTCTAAGAATTCAAGTTCCTATTTGTATACATATTTATATTATGTTTTCACTAAGCTGAATGAATACATCGAAGTAACCTCTCTGAAAAGTCTGCAGTATGCAGTTTTCCAGCTTAATGACTTTCTTTATCATGCAAATATTTCTACATAAATATTGTAAAATGTTTTATCCAGTTGCTGTAAACTACTATTATTTTAACAAAATATGGACACGGCTCAAATGGGCATCATGCCCTTCTGCAATTGTAGGCTATTATTTTGTATTGTATTACACAATTGAATATTTTTCCAATGATTGAAAACATGTATGACAATAATCTCATGAAGCTATGATGATCTGTCTAGAACAATATGATAAAAATAAAGACAAAAATGGTGAAAAGGAAAGGGCAGGCACCAACCCGTAAAATAGATATAAGGTCAATAAGAAATAATTTTAAGATTACTGAGATAAAAGGATTTTCCACTGATTTCGTCATGGAACGTTATAGCAAAACATGACATGATACAGAAGAAATTTAATTTTAAAATCAGAAAATAACATTGCAAATGCTTCTTTTGGACAATTCAGTAACTCCCAATTAATGTGTCTTGTTTAAAATACAATTTACAAATTAACAGCTGTTTCATTAAAAAGTATTATCCACATGGCAAAAATGTAAACAAATCTGTAGAGGGATCTTTAAAGGCTTCTGGGGCAGAGCCCTAAGGGAATTTACTTCGTTTTTCTTTTGATAACTCATCTACAGACCAAGACCTTTCTTTTGACACCCCTATCCAGTTTCTACGCCCAGCCGTTCTCTCAAATTAGTGGAGACAAAGTTTCCAATTAAATTTTTAGATTCCCCCATGTTAATCTTATGGGAGAAAATCCAACTTTGATGGAAGATCCTGCCCAAACTAATAAAGATATCAAAAAACTAAAAACACTTTGCAAAACTACAGATCAGGGCAATTCTTTTTACACTTTAATCATCAAAATCGGTCCAAAAATGAGGGAGGAGTTCTGTTCACAAAAATCGGCTTAGCGTATTATATATATAGAAGATTATTAAAGTGATACAATCAAATTTTATGTTAACGGTTAAGGTCATTTACCAAATAAAAATATGGGCATATGGCACATCAAAATGAAGCTTAGAGTGTGTAGATTTGCCAAAAAGTATTGGTATGGACAAATTTTCTAAGGGTTCTGCCCCACAGGCTGATTTCCAAAGGGCTACGCCTGGCATGCTTCCAAAGTTTAAATGATTTAATTTAATTTAGTTAATGAAACAGCTGGTCAGTACAATGAACTGGTGTTTGTTTATTTTCTCGACAAAATATGTTTGTGACATTTTATGTAGATTGAGGAGGGTTATGTTTGGTTTTAAAGAAAGGTTGTATACGTTTTGTAAAGTATTGCTCAAAGTTTCATTTTGTAATTTATATAGTAAGCTACGTGTAAAGAGGCTTGACTAAAATTGAAGAGTTATGATAAAACAGGTCATTCATGAAGCATCAATATGAAAGGTATGTTGTCATATTATTTTGGATCTACTAACATCAAAAGTAGGGGTTTGAAAGTAATTAGGTTTACACTTTTAAATCAGTTTATATTTTCAAACTAAATCATAGAGTTGGTGTATTTTAAAATACACATCAGCACCACTTTAATAGCTCTCTAGGTCACATTTTCTTCCCGTTGCAAAGCACGGGTATAGCAGCTTGTTTGATGTATAAATCAAAACTAATAGTAAGAAAATCTATCATACAGTCAAACTCTAAAATTTGAAGTTACAAATCGTTACTGAAGCATAATATTTACTCTAATTACAAATACAAATTGGTTTAATTATTAAGAATAGTACTGCGGGTATTCGTAATACTCACTAGTGCGGACGTTAATCCACACCAGGGTGTATTGCATCCAAAGATCCATAAATTTAAACGAATGGTGTTTTGGCCTCAAATCGAAAATTAATGTAAATCGATCCGGGTCCAGGTCTTACAATGAAACATTCGGCAATAGTGTATTCCCTATAAGGGAAATTCCCTTATATAATTTTGTGTAAGTATTCAAATTTATAAAAAATTTAACATTTTCAATTGGAAATGTTTAACATTTTCCTATGAGCTAAATGACGATCATTAGCTAACCACAAGCTGTTTGCGCTGCGGTTGTTTTGGCATAAGACCTTTGTTGTAAATGATAATTGGTAAACCAGTACAGACTCTAAGTTAGTGGTTATCAGTGTAATCTCATAGAGATGAGGTCCATCCAGAACTATTAAATAACACAACGATTAGTTAACATATTACAAAATGAAGAACGAAACAACCGATTTTTTAAACAGTTAGGCATAAAACAATTTAATATTCTATAAAATATCATAGAGATAAGAGCCTATAAGATTAAGAGTATTTGGCAAGCTTTACAATAAATCCACCCCAAAAGGTTCATATTCTCAGATTGGTAAACTGATTTCAATAGGCCTAAATGTGTTTTATACGATTTATCCACATTTTCATCAACTAGAATTGAAGAATTTCCCCAAGGGATGTCTTACTTATAACTGATTTTAACGAACGATGCTTTTTGCATATAATATAACAAACCCCTAAAACAAACGAGTACAGTACAATGGTTTCAGACCTTGGTCTTATTTAGTCTACTCTCACCCATCTCACATTCTGCAACCATTTACACATGGCTTTAAAATAACTCTACTTTTTTTGCTACTAATTGTTATAGTTAATTCATACATTTTTGAAATTTACAAGACTTGTAATAGGCTTTTAGCAGTTGGTAGAAACGGGTTGATTCAATTTTTTAAATTTAAATTCAGATTCCTTGAAAATAGATTTTGTTTCTTACTTCTGATTTGTCAAACTTAAAAAGGTCGAGTACGTATTCGTGTATTCAAACTGTGGTAGATTAAAGGCATTTTAAAGAATCATACAAAATCCAAAGTAAGAGTAATCGAGGCTAAAATTAATTAGTATGGCTCAATAAGTCAATAAGTCATTTATTGGGCCAAACTAACAATAACTTGCATTAGCCAAGTCAATTTACAAGAAATTTAGTACATCTTAATACACCTAATTTCCTTACTAAAAAAAACTCATGATTACTATTGACTAGTGATCAATAGGGCCTACTAGTCGTAAACTTGATATTTATCACATTCGTTGATCGTTAGCATTGTGTATAAATGTCAGCCTAAATTAGCAGGTGCACATCTAGCATTGATAGAGTTCCAATGGGTTTGCAGTAAACCAATAATTGTGTTGATGACAGAAATGAAAACAAATACAAACTTCTGTTTGGAGCCAACCTCATTGATTTTCAATTTTGCTTTTTGAGCTTAAAGTTTGTGGTTTTGAGGTGAATTTTCAAAGTATTGCATTTGTTATGGTAATCATTAATAGTAATGAATATGAAGTAGGTGCGTTTTGATTTGAAGGGTGTTAGGGTTAACTTAAAAGAGATATACAAAAGTTGTTTTTTACATTATTTACTCCACTGTAAACTTAAAATCTATAACTGTACACAACAAATATATATTTCTTTAATCAATAGTTCATTTCTGAACTATATTTTTATCACTGTATCTGTGTTGTCGTCTGCTCCATTGAATTCCGCTGGCCAACTACCCACCTCAATGCAGACAGTTCCCAATTTTATAATTTAATTGAATTTTTATTATGGTTTTGGTTTAACAGATTGTGATTTAAAAGGGTTTTACTGTAACTAATGTGTGAAGTGGCACTTAGCACTCGAGTTACACATTATATTTTTCCTACAGTTACTAGTTTTGCCAACTTATTTTAAAGCGTACACATATTACGGGCCTAATAAAAGCACAATGTTTTGTGTTTGTTGGTTAAAATACTGGATTGCAGCAAAAAAAAAAAAAAAAAAAAAAATTAGTGAGGCAAAATTAAGTAAATTCAGCAATTATCTACTTGGCATGCTATAATCAGTGCAAGGAAGCCCACTATGTCAGGTAACTGTGGGAAAAGGTTATTGTATATGCATAGTATAAGTGTAACTGTGGTATCAAATGTTTTTGTTGTAATCTGTTGCATTGTTATTCACTTTGACACTTTACGATCCAGTGCAGCAACAATGGAGGAGTTTGCTCGATGGGAAGCCTTTGACGACGCTCTAGACTTGTACTGCTTCTACGAGGAAGATCCGGACGCTGAGTACGTAGACTTGCTGCTAAACCCCGAGAGGTACACGGGGTACAGGGGCTACTCAGCTCACCGCATCTGGAACAGCATATACATGGAGAACTGCTTCAGGTGAAACCTTAGTTATGGATATAACTAAACATTCCGATGTTTAAGCTATAACCATGTTTAGAGTAAAATAAACTAAGTTGAATAATTGAGCCTCAAATACAAACTACACAGTAGATCCCTGCTAATCCGACCTTGGTTAGTACGACCGTCGACCTTTCGCTTGATTTGACGGTTCAGTTGCATATTGGTGACAATATTGTGTCTATTTTCTATGGTGGTGTGGAGATCGTCTAGATGGCAATGGCGGCAAAAATCTTGTCTATCACCTGCGATCACAAAACATCATGATCTGTTTTTGTGTTATGCAAACATTAATTGTCATTCTCCTTGGCTTTATGATCAATCTAAATAAGAATATTCAATTTCCAAAACTTTGGGAATCTTACATTTTGTACTTCCCTTTTTTTAGGGAGTACTTAGGCACAGCAATAATATGTTTCTTTATTGAGACTGTAATCTTTATAAAGAAAGGTTATAAATTTCACGTTAGTTTTAATTACTGCATTTTATTCTGATATGTTAAATGACCTTAATTAATTGGTAATTTAAAAATTGTAATAGAAATGTGTCCAAGCACAGTTGCAAATTTGAACACAGCTTCATGACGTGATAGCTGGTAGAGCGTAAACAGATTCATTGTTTGTTTACATGCTATTGACAGAAAGTGAAGTAGAAACAACATTACACTTGTGCTAACGTTTTCACCAATCAGATAAAACCATCACTTACAGCCATTATTACACACCCCATTACTAACAGCCATTATTTTCCTCATTGTATTTCACTACCTTATTGTGTTCCTGATAATTTATTTTGTTGTAAAACATGTTTTATTCACCCATCAAAGCCCCAAAGGAAATATTGTTGATATATTCAGTATTAAATTGACTATATATTATCAATATATTGAAGGAATATTAAACTTATTGCTTTGCAACAAGATAGTAGATATAGATAATATGGATAAAATTCAGGAGTTAAACACTGTAAAATTTCCATGTAGCCTAGCTAAATATATGTACATTTTAAGTTATTAACACATTGAGTGCGGTGAAAATATTAGTGGGTGCTTCCCCAGGGCCTGAATTTTTTTATCAAATCTTACCTTTAGTTCCCTGAATTGAGGATCCAGGTCAGAAATAGTGTTTTGAGCTTTAAAAAAAAATAGCGTCTAAAATCGCTGGTCACCAGTGACACTGGCCCAGGCAATGACGTCTATAGTAAAGATGTAAAAAAACACACTAAAAATGTTAAATTGTGCTATATTTATTATTTACAGCCCCTTCCTCCCTCCCATCCATTGTTCTTTGCACTCAAACTGCATCGTTGAACTGGTTGAAACAATCCCCTATGCATAATCCTGGTTTGTCTGGACAAGTGCGACAGAAAAAAACAAACTAATAAACAATAAACAATATTTTGTGTGTCATACTACAATAAAAAAAAACAAAAGAAGTACTCCAATAAATGTATAGTTATTAAATTTGTAAGTAGGAATTTGTGACCTAATTTTCCTGGCGGACGACAAGAGGTAAATTACGCCACCGGTAAGAAAACGAGATCCCAGGATTCGCCCTAGTCTGGTCGCGGGGAGTTTCCCAGGAGTCGATAGTGATTCGGATAGCCTAACTTTGATAGCCCTGGTTGTCAGAGCTCGAGACGAACGTTGCGGGTTACTAAACACCCTACTCGAAATCACCACTCTAGCCTAGGGCTTGTGGGGAAAATAATAATTTTGACTTGACTCTGTGGGCAAATATCTAAATGATACACTACTAGCTAACTTAACGAATCAATAAGTAAGCTAAGTAGTCACTCCGCTTACCTACGGAGTTAAATCTTCAACCTGTAACAAACAAGGTTAGTACAAGATAGGCCTAACCTAGCCTAACTCCCACAGAGTCCGAATTTACTAAATTATAAGAAAACAAGTTAGCCTAAGTGGTCCAGGTGAGGAACGAACAAAAAACGAAACTAAAAAGGTGAAACTGCTCCTTGAGCCAAAAAAACGAAAAACTAAAACTTTAACTTCCTCACGTGTTCAACTTAGACCAACTTCGACAGAACTTGTCCAGCAGAAACCTGTCTGCTGGGACAAACTTCGGGATGCTAAAAGAACTTTGAAACAGATTTAAGAATTAAAAAGTAAGTCCCAAATACGGATTATGAAACGTTAATCGAAATGATCTGTCACCAACTCCGATACTTTAATTAAATGAGTTGGTTAAAGCGTATGACGAGGTCTGCGAATCAGGCCTAGCCTATGAACTTCGACAAAGTTCTGCCGAAACACAAGTGACGGAGAAGTATTCGAAAGAAAAACCTAAGTTGTCTAAGTGTTACGCAACTTACCAAACGAAGTAATAATACTGTGAAACACTTTTTGCGCACTCGATGCACCACGAACTTAAAGTAGGCTAACTTTTAAGCGACGAACCGAAAACAAAAACTCTTCAAATTGAAGACGAACGAACTCGCGAAATGCCGGGAATACGAATGACAACTCTCCTCCACAACTCTTCTTCTTCCCTCACCTTCGTCTCAGAATCGAGACGAAAGTTAACACGCTTCCTGATTGGTCAGCACAAACAGAGTCAGCTGAGTCCCGTGTCAGCAAAGGCAGGCGTATGACAGCTTTAACATGCTTTATAACTGCCTCGCTCACAAAGTGGGTCAGCTGCTCTTATTCTCTCCCGTAGCCCGCCCTCAGACGCAGTCGAACAACCAAACAACCAAACTGACACCAACGTCGTCTGCTGTCTTGGAATTGGAGGTTAGGTGCGATGTCAGTTTAGCGTCGCGACTAGGGCACAACAACAGCTTACATTCAGCTGTTTAAGTTTCGTGGTTTAGCCGTTATTTTACCCCCTACACATTTGACCCGTTACACCCCCTCCACACTTCGGAACGAAAAAAAAAGAAAAACGAGAAAAAGAAAAAAAGCTGTTGAGCTTTCCTGCAGGTGACACATCATCAGTAGGATCGTGGGCAAGAAAAGTTGACAGAAGCTGATGCCGGACCCCGTTAGTCCGGCGGCTCCAGGGTGTTGACGACGAAAAGCGAACGAAGCCGGGTTGCCTCAGAGGTCTAAACGAAAACGAATCGGGGCGAAAAGTAACCAAAGGTGAAGAGTAGGCGTGGGGTTTACAAAGGTAGGGTAGTACGGCAGGCTCGGAGTCTTGGAAGCGGGGCGAAGAGCTACTCACGAGGATACGTCACCCCCAGACGAGGGTTAGCTATGGCTGCTTGTCGGCCGCTTGACGTGGCCGAAAGGACTGACGAACAACGGATCACCAGACGTCGCTGCGGTTGCGGGATCCTTGCAGACTAGTCACGTGCACAGAAAGGTTTCAAGTCTTTCACGTGAACGACGTGCACTGCAGCAGTATCCTCATCACGTACCTCGTAGAGATTAGTACCTCGACGACCGACCACAATGCAGGGGCCATGATATTTTGGTGCTAATTTCCCTACGATGGCGTCAGCAGCAGAAGACAGGACGTGGAGTCTTCTCATCACCTGCGCGCCGACTTCGTGCGTCACCTCCCTGCGACGGAGGTTATAATATGTTGATTGCCTTTCGTAGGCGGCCTTGAGGTTATTGCGTGTCTGCGCGATCAGACGCTGAAAGTCCTCCAGTCGTTTGCGATGGGTCTCACTTAACGAGGGACCTTGGGGAGTTTCGGACCCCTCAAACGAAAGGCCACGGACGGCACAGGGAGGCTTCAGTTCGCGTCCAAAACACAGCATCGCAGGAGTGAATCCAGTAGAGTCGTGGACAGCTGTGTTGAGGGCGTACTGAAACTCCACCAGGTGGTTGTCCCAAGACCTATGGTTGCCTTTCACGAACTGCGCAATCATAGTCTTCACCACCCGGTTCTGCCTCTCGACTGGGTTCGACTGCGGGCTGTAGGGGGCCGTTGTCTGTAGCGTGATGCCCCAATCAGCAGCCAACTCTCGAACCAGTTTACCGACGAACTGCGTGCCATTGTCCGTAATCAACACATCCGGAGCTCCATGTCGAAGTAGGACAGCCTTCAGCTTCGTCACCACATTCTTTGCGGTTGCAGACGCAATGGAGGCGAGTTCCGTCCATTTGCTGAAGGTATCCTGCACCACGAGCAGAAATCGCTGACCCCGCTGTGATCTAGGCAATGGGCCTACTAGGTCAGCAGACACTGCGTACCACGGTCCTTGGGGTTGTCGGAAGTACATTTTCCCAGCTGGTTTCGTTTGGGGTACTTTATAGGCCTGGCATTGGGCGCAAGACCGTACATAGGCCTTCACCTCACGACGCCAGTTAGGCCAAAAGTACTCCCCACCAACTCGGGCTAACGTCTTCTTCACCCCAAGATGTCCTGCCGTAGCCGTGTCGTGGTTTTCGTGCAGTACCACGGATACTTGGTCGCTTGGCACACACACCCTCCATGTCGTAGGTCGATCCTTCTTCGAGACAGCACGATACAGCTTACCGTCGCGAAGCTGGTATCTCGAGTATCGCCCAGGGTGTTTGCTGACCAGGTTGCGAAGGCGGTCATACCAAGCACCGTGGCTCCCCGGCGGGTTACCATCGTTGTCCACGTCAGATGATGGGTCGTCAGTCTCCGGCTGCGTCGGACCAGGAGCTTCGTCGTCGATAACGTCACCCGCCGGATCATCACCGAGTGAAGGTTCGTCACCTTCAGCATCGGTTAGGCGTCGTAACCGCAACTGTTCCCTAGCACCGCGTCTGGTTAAAACTCCGACCTCGAACGTAGGTTGATCGGGTTCACCAGACGAGCTGGGCGCTTCAGGGACCGGCTGACGAGATAGGGCGTCGGCCACTCTGTTCGCTGTCCCCTTGCGGTACCTTATCTCGAAGTCGAATTGCTGCAACTCCATAACCCACCGAGCCAGGCGCCCACTAGGCTCACTGAGCTTAAGCAGCCATTTTAGGGCGACATGGTCGGTTATCGCAATGAAGTGGTAGCCTTCGAGATAAGCCTTGAATTTCCGAACAG